GGGAGAGTTCAGAGTTTGAGAATCGCTTAGGAAATGTTTAGATTCCAGAACCCAATTGGTTGGCTGGGAATGACTTTAGGAAGAGCTAGGAGTGAATGGAGAAGGGCCTGTTTAACAGGGTCCACTCGTCCTGGGGCTTGGTGGGTGGAGGTGGGCTCTGGGAGAACCCCATAGCCCTCAGAAGGGTTGGCAGTCATTTTTTTGGTTCTAACTATGCCATCCAAAAGAACCTTCAATGAAGGGGTGGGGGTATGTTTCTAAAGAAACTACAAACAGCAAACTTCTGTTTCCTTTCTGGGACCACGCTTGAAAAGCTGTTGGCTTTTTTTTTTTTTCTTTAATGTACTGATTTTAGAAAAAGGGACTGTAGCAAAAGGAAGGGGAATCCCCTGGCAGAGGGCCCATCTACAGAGCGCCACTTTGTGGTTACTATGGAAACAGGCATAATAGGAACAAAACATAAGCATGTTGCTTGGCAACCTTGGAGCCTAAGGTTCATCACACACACACACTCATAACTCCTTCATTTCAGGGAACCCCCAGGGTAGGAGCGTCATTGCTGGAAGCTGGGTTATCCCGGTGACGAGTCCTAGAGCTCGTGCGGCTTTGCCTGTTGAGTCTGGAGGACTGAGGTGTGTGGCACCTCTGATGGGTCAGCTGATCTGAGCCCTGGCTGGTGTTGACAGGAGTCTGAAACCTTGATGAAAACATGGGTTTCCTTTACAGTGTTAGAACAGGGGGGCTCTTAAGTGAGTCAGTGCATGTGTGGGGGGTGAGAAAAGGGAGAGGGGAGAGAAAAGATGAACATTTGGTGTTGGGTGTGGAATAGGAGAATAAAAGGATAGAAAATTCAGCTTCCAGCTTTTTGAAAACACAACTGGCAGGGAACTGAAGACAAGGTTGGGAGCCATTCCTTCTGTAGTATGTGCTGTCGGGGAGGGACATCCCTGTTGCCTACTCCACTGACACAAGCCCTTGGCCCAGTGTTGTTGGGTGGACAAAAATGTTTGTGCAGCTGCTGCAAAAAAGATCTACAAGTAGGGGAATTGCTCCATGGGGGTTGACAGTCTGGAGAAGATGTGCGAGAGAGGCAAGACACTTGTGCAAAGAACAAGGATTTTGGAGCCAGTTATCTGGAGAGCACTCATTACCATGGCACGGAGGGCTGGGGATATAACTTAGTGTTGGCCTAGCATTGATGAGACCTTGAGTTTGATCACTGGCATCCCAGTAAATAACTCTGTTTCTGAGTGTCTGCCAGTGTCTCCCATACAGAACACAGGAAGAGGGAAAATCCCTGTCTTTTGGGAAAATAAGTGTGAGTGGGAGCTTTAATTTTTCTTTTGCTAGCTGTGTGACTGTAGGTAAATCAGTAACCTCTCTGAGACTATTTCCTTATCAAGTACCTCCTTAGATTATGCGAGGATTAAGTGACTGATATGTAAAAAGAGTCACATACGATGGCTGTTATGGTGGGCTGGGGGGAGGGGACAGGATTTCCACTGAAAACTTTGTGTGTGATTCTTGGAGACAGTGTCTCACTCTGTAACCCAGGCTGTCTTGGAACTATATAGTCCACACTGGCCTGGAGCTCATTGATTCTCCTGCCTCAGCTTCCTGAGCATTTAGATTACAGCTATGGAACGGTCATCACACTGTTTCAAAAACTAGAAACTCCTCCTCTGTAGTAATTAGGAAATCCCAGGTCTGGTTCCAATCGCACGATCATGATCTTTAAGGAGCTGGGTCCAGATTATCCTATCTCTGTTCTTTTAGTCTGGAATGGGACAGGAGCCAGTTCTCAGAACTCAGCCCTAACCAAGTAATCTTGGCATGTTTAACTCTGAATGAAGTGTCTGGACAGTGACCCCTGCTCTGCTAACTGCTCCAAAAGCCAGCCTTGCCCTCCTGCCTTCTTCCCTGTTGACCGAAAGGGTGGCCAGAGCAAACAGTGGGGCAGTATAATTGGCTCAGAGCCCAGGAAGCGTTCCCTCCTGAGAGACGGATGCAGAGTGCAGCAGAGTTGAGGTGACTGATGCTCACATCCCTCCCTTTTCTTCTTTCCTGGGCCCACCGCCACCCCATCTGGAGTGCTGCTGCAGATGCCCAGTGCTTTTGGGCTCACGTCACACCATTGCCACCTTCCTGAAAGCCCAGGGATGAACATGCATCAGAAAACGCGTTCTTTCAGGGAGTCAAATGAAAATTTATTTCAAAGTTAAGAATTGGCTGGTAAATGATTAACTGGTGACTTTTGGGGAGAGTGTCTGGATAGAGAAAAAGGGAGAAATTTCCTTTTGGTTTTTTTGAGACAAGGTATTATGTAGCCCAGGCTGACTTTGAGCACTTTATGTAGCCAAGGTCACACAGGACCCTGACTCCCAGTCTCAGAGGGTACCACCACACTATGCATAAGTTTATTTTCATTGTTCTGCCTCTCTATGTTGCCTACATTTCAAGGACTATGCAGCTCAGTTGTACAGTGTTCATTTTATCATGTAAGAGGCCTTAGGTGTGAGTCTTAACACACACCAGAAACCCCAAAACAAAAACAAGACCCCCAAAAATAACAACAAAGACCTACTTAATACCCCTCATTGTTATGGAGGCATCGATTCCCCCACATTCCCTCCTCCCCCCAGACAGCTGTGTAACAGCCCTGGTTGTCCTCGAACTCACTCTGTAGACCAGGCTGGCCTCGAACTCATAGATTCACCTGTCTCTGCCTCCCAAGTGCTGGGATTAATGCTGTGTGCCACCACTGCCTGGTGGCATTGCTTTTTAAAAAATGTCAGTGGGGATTACCTGGTTTAGGATTACAGAGTACTTTATCTTATTCTTGGTCTATGTTTAAGAGATGAAATAAATGCTATTTATATATAGATAGGGTCTCACTATTTAGCCCAGGTTGGCCTGAAACTCACAGAGATGGCCAATGATTGCTTCTTGAGTGCTGGGATTAGATGTATATGTTACCATACCTAGCTCACTAAATGTGTGAATATGAGTTTAAAATAAATAAAATGACTTGTTGTGGTGAACATTTGAGAGGCTAAGGCAGAATTGCTGTTCACACGAGGACAACCATTGTGAATTCCAGGCCAGCTAGGGCTATATTACAAGACCCTGTGTCAATAAATCACATTTGAGGGCTAGCCTAGGAGATGACTCAGCCTGTTAAGTCACTTGCCACCAAGCCTGACGACCTGTTTGATCCCAGTACCCGTGTGGTCGAAGGAGAGAACCAACTCCCACAAGTTGTCCTCTGACCTCCACATGTTCATACACAGCAAATAAATTAAGAATGACTGGCTCTTGAGTTTTGTTTTTTGAGTTGTGTTTGACCCGATCCTTACTGTGTATCTTTGGGGGCCTGGAACTAACTCTGTAGCTCCTAGTGAGTAGATTTTTCTGTTTTTTTTTTTTTTTTTTTCCCCCGGAAAAGTTGAACTTAGGACAGACAGTATGCTGGCGATGATGTGTTTGGGTGTTTGGTGGGATTGAGTCACACACACACACACACACACACACACACACACACACACACACACACAGAGAGAGAGAGAGAGAGAGAGGTGAGTGGCCAATTCTCTGCTTAGTCTGTCTTTGCATGTCCATGCCTGTCTGAATTTCTAACTACATTTCTCCACCTTGGCGTGTCCATTATATATATGTCTGTTGTCCATCACTCCCTGTTTCCCTCCCCCCACTGCCTGTACCCTGTGTGGTAACTGGACCTGGACACAGCCCCCAGGGCTGGCAGGAGACTTGGCTGATATTTTTAGCCTGTAAACATGTTTGCCATTTCAGAGGACAGGGCAGGGCTGGCCTCAGCACCAGCCCACTCAGGATCTTGGAGCGAAGGCGCTCCTACCTCAGGCCAAGGTCTCAGTTCTCCAGCCTGAGGTCTCTTGGGGCACTGGAAAGGAAGGGAAACCGGAGTGGGCAGTTGGGTACCCACTTGTCAGGGAGGGTAGAACTCATGGGGAAGAAGAAAAGGGAGATGTGTGGGGAGGATGTAGCCAGAAGGTCCCTGCAACCCCATCATTAAGCATTTAATAAAATCCACATCTAGTTAGAAGTGGCTGTGGGAAATGGCTGTAAATTGGGGAGCCGAAGAACTTGCAAATGGGAATGTGGGGGAGGGGATGAGGGGGCGGGAGAAAGATTGGGGAGGCAAAGAAAAAGCTGAATCTTGGTTTCCTCAAGGTTAGTGGGGCGTGATGATTAATCCCAGGGAGATAGAGGTCGGCGAATCTGTGAGGCTACCCGAGTCTAGCCAGTTCCAGGACAACCAGGGACTACATAGACTGCTGCCTTCCAAACAACACAACTCCCCCAAATGGCAGTGTCTACAGAAGAGGGTGAGCAGCCTCATGGCTCGTCCAAGGACTGCAGGCTTGACTCTGGTGTCGCTGCAGCTGCTGAGCTGCACCGTGGTATGGTGCATAGGTGATTCCATTCCTAGGGTTGGGGTCTGAGTCTTAGAGTACAGCATGTGTTGTAGGAGCTGAGAGAGCCTCCAGAAAGTCTGAAGGCCAGAAATGGGCGCGGCTGCAAGAAACTTGGGAACCAAGACAGGAGGCCGGGGCCTGGGACTAAAGTGTGCAAGCTTGAGAGAAAGCTCAAAGGTCTGTGTTGAGGCTGGAGGTCGAGGCTGAATCATCTTCTTGGCTCTTCCTGCAGAATGGGTTGGCACTGGGTTCCAACTGTGAGGATGAGCCTCTGCTCCTTCGTGCTTCCAGGAATTTCTTGCCGGTGGAGACACACTGCTCAAACTGGGGTGGGAAGATCCAGACACTGGGACAGGAGTAGTAGATGGGATAGGAGAAGGGAAAAGACGACGCCTCCTTGTCCCCTCGCCCCCTCTCCAGTCTCTCCTCACCGGCCCACTCCCGGGTGGCTTAAGCATTGGTCTTGCTCTCGGGTCCCAGCCCTGCTCCGGCCCCGCCCGGCCCCGCCCTCTCCCCACAGCTCGGGGCAGACCCGCCCGAGTTACAAGAGCCGCCTCCGCGCGCAGGGGCCCGGCCACTTGGAGCAGCTCTGCCGCGGGGACTGCACTGTCTGCCCTGCCAGACCCGCCCCGACTGGGGCTCGCCGTCGCCAGCAGTCTGCACTGCGACCTCGGGCCCTACGCCGGCTATGGCTGCGTCCTGGGACTAAGCCCGCAGGTAGGGGAGCGAAGCGCAGGGTGGTGCGCACTGGGGCTAGGGCCAGGGGAGGGAGGGACTCGAGCGAGGTGCATTTGTGGTGGTGTCACTGCGAGGGTTCCAAAAGTTCAGGGCAAACTTGGCCGTCTGTGGCTGCCGGGACAGGCGACGCGTCGCGCTGTGGGAGTGGAGCTCTCTCCCCGGAGTTGGGGCACAAGTTGGGCTAAGTTAGAAAATCGCTTGGATATGTGCTTTGCTGCGCTTTATGTTTTTCCGGCGGGCGGACTCTCGTCCCAACTGCATTGCAGGGTGCTGCGTTCCTGGCCTGGTGGCCCCTGTCCCACCCCTTCACTTTGGGGCGGTGGCTCAGAGCGCTGGTAGGTTCTTATTCCATGTTTACTGGAGAAGTTTTCCAAGATCCCCGTCGCAGTTCTCCCGCCCCTACGGCGGCCCTACACCGCGTGCCCCCTCTGCTGTCCTTCGCGGCTCTCCACACCTCTGCCCCAAAATTCGCGTCTGGAGTCCCCTCTGCCCCACCCTGCTCTGTACCACCAGCCTCTCCCTTTCTGGCTCCTAGCGGCGCCTTCAGCAGCTCCCCTCAGCTGCCCCGCCCTAGTTTAGCCCCTCCGTGTTCCCAGATCCAGAAGACTCCCTTCTCCCTCCCGGGCGTCGGAGCCTGGAAGTTTGCAGCGCGCCTCCCTGCGGGATGGGTGGGAGTGGAGGTGGGGGGACATAATTAGGGAGATTCCTGCGCTGGGGTGGGCGGGGAGGGGGGCTGTGTAAGCGACGCAGTCCCCAGAACCTCCCTTGCTCCTTAGAGGCGGTACTTTCTCCCCACCCCACCCCACTCCCAAACTCGTCCGGGCGGGATGGCCCCCGCCCCAGCGCCTGGCTGGACGCCAGCAGCCTGAGGAATGTAGTGGTTGGAGTCGGTGACTAATTCAAACCAGAATTCGGGGGGGGCAGGAGTGGTGAGGGGCAAAGGGGAGGCGGAAAGGGGCAGTGAGTAGGTGGTGGGGGCCGGAGCGCTGGGCGTAGGTGAAGGACTTCACTGCTCTCTCTGGAACCCTCCACTTTTGCTGTGTGAGCCAGCAAAGGGGGGGAGGGAGGGATCCTGCTGTGGGGTTGGAAAGGCAGCGTGCTTAGGGTGTGTGCGCAGAGAGCTGTGTTATGTAAGGCTTTCCCATGCAGGGAGGGGATGTGCAGTGTGCAAGGGCCTGGGCCTCCTCTGGCCAGGAGCCCCTTGCAGTGTCAGGGAGGGTTTGGGGAGCTGCAGAACCTTGGTGGTGCTGGGCTGACAGCAGGGCTAGCTGTACTTGGCAGTAAGCATTGGAAGACTCTTAGGAGGGAACCGGGGATATCCCACAACTCAAGCTGAGCCCGGACTTAGATTATTTCCTGTGTGTGTGTGTGTGTGTGTGTTGTGTGCGTGCTTGCACACTCTGTCACTTCTGCACAGGTGAGCACAGAAGACTGTGTGAATGGTGCCTGTGTTGGCACCCTGGTTTGACAGGGTGTGGTCCTGGACTGTCTCTGAGGCCATGAGGTGTTTGTGTTTTCGGGGTGCTTGTATTGTCAGTGTACCTGTCCTGGGGAGGGGATTTGTAGGATAGCTTTCTGAGGTAGTTGGGGTCCTTGGAAAATGACCTGAAATTCCCAGGAGAAAAAGGACCCAGAGGTCTACAGTATCCCATTAAAATTTAACCTCAGTGGCAGGGACCATCTCCACTGCACCCCTTTTCCAGCTGCCTAACAAAGGATAGGTGTTGGGCTGAGTTCATAGGACCCAGTGATTCAGCTGGGTGCTGAGTGAGAGTGTGTGTGTGTTTGTGTGTATGTGGCGTTTAAGGGTCTCTACCCATACTGAGAGTAGTTTATGTGAGTAGAACTGCTTTGGTTGTGCCCCATGAAGGAAGTCCCTGGGGTAGGGTGTGCCTCTTTTTCCTTTCCCAAGCTGATGAACCATTGGCTTCCTTCTCTCACACCGAAAACCTACAGGACTAGGCCTGCATCTGGACTATAGAGTGTGCTGATTGTGAGGTAGAAGGGAACCCTCGCTTAAGGGCATATCCTTGATCTGAGCTGAGATATGGGGAAGGGAGGGAGTGTGGGGAAGATCTGGGAGAGTAGGGCTGAGCTAGTAGGCAGGGCTCGGCCCCCGGTCCTGATAGGGATGGCATCTGGAAGATGTCTGAACCCCTTTCTAAAGCTCTTGTCCCTAAGAGGTTATACAAAGGGACCTTGCTAAGAGAACCAGAACATTCAGGGAGACAAGTGAGTCATTCAAAGCTTACTTCTGAGAGATACTATGGAGGTCAGTAGCAATACAGAGGGTCTTTGCCCAGCTCCCACAGACATGGTTCAAGGATGAGGATCCAGGTCCAGGAAAGGACACCAGCGAGAGCAAACCAAGGAGCTCTGTGGAAGAAGAGCGGCGTTAGTCAAGGGCAGAGAAGGAACTATGGGGTCCTGGGTCGCCTCAGACCCAGGGAGGCTCTGCTTTGAGGTTCAGAGCACGGCCACGCCTGGCTCTTCTGCTCCACTTGGAACTGCCCGTTGGGCTCTGGCAGAGTACGCCACTCTGAGCCTGGGGAGCTGGTTTGAGAGGCTGGGGTAAGGCTGTGGGGGTGGAGGAGTGTGTGGAGCACTGGGGTGTGGTCACCACCTTTTTCAGAGCTTGGGAACTGCCTGGAGACAGACAAGAGACGCAGACCGGGAGAGCTAGTCTGACTTCTGAAGGGATCTTTGCCTGGGTGTCCCCAAGTTTCTCTCCTTGGGGCTGGGCTGACCACGTGCTGATATTCACATAGGTTAGAGGAAGGGGGTGGCTATCAGTTTAGAATGTGCATTGCACTTGGACTGCGGCAGTGGTGAGTGTCTAGGACTTTCTGCTCTCTTTGCCCCTTCGGATTTCTACCAGGCTCTCAGGAACTTGCAATTCCCTGGATTTGACCACAGGCTGCTTTCTGAAGCCTTCCTAATGATAGCATCACTCATACCTGAGTTTGTCCAAGAAGTGTCGTCATGGGGGGTGGGGGGTGACACAGACTGTTTCTGCAGAAATGCTGGTATATGCTTTGATGAAGCTCCCCTTTCTCTCTCTGAGCCCCAGTTCCCATTGAGGCTAAGGCTCGAATAATTGGTCTTGGGTTTGTCACTGTTTGCATCACAACAGGGGTTGTTCCACTGTGGTCTTGAGCCTCTGTGTCTTTGAGTGAAGTTTCTGTTACTGCCTGTGAGAGGATGTCCTGTTGGCTGTTCATGGGGTGCTCAGACTGTGCTAAGCCTCCTGGGACTCGGAGGGCAGAGGCAGTTACTGACTGCTCTAGGTAGAAGTTCCATATCAGTGTACAGACTGCAGTTAAGCCATGAAGTAAGCTCCTTTGTCCCGTATGGGTCCAGGCCTTGACGTTTGTGTCCAGAGGCCTTCAAGGAGGATAGGGCAGCCTTGGGTGTATCATCTCCACAGATGGGGGCTGAGCAGCAAAGCATTGCACATAGCCTGTCAGGGAGCGGCATCCTGCCTGGTCCCTGGGGGCTGGGGCGGAGGTTCTGGGGGAAGGGGAAATGCCTGGAGCTGATCCTGGCTACGTGTCCTGGCTAGGCTCTGTGTGTGTGTGTGAGTGTGTGAGTGAGTGCGCGCGCGTGTGTTTACTGTGTGTGTGTGCACTCGCACGCGGGCGTGTGTGAGTGTATGAGTGTGTGTGCGAGTGTGTGCGCGTGTGTGTTTACTGTGTGTGTTTACTGTGTGTGTGTGAGAGAGAGAGAGAGAGAGTGTGTGTGTGTGTGTGTGTGTGTGTGTGGCCACTGCCTTTTGAAGACCTGGCCCTGAGTCTTTTCACTACATGGCCTGACCACTGGGGGGCGAACATGCAGCACCTACTAGGGAACTGGGTGGGGCCAGGGTATAAACTAGACTAATCTACCCCCCAGACAACTCAGATACTTCTCCCCTTGGCTTCTCAACCATGGGGCACTGCCCTCATAGTTAGTGTCTTAATCCCAGCCATCCTGTCTAAACTCAAATCTTCTTTGATGCTGTAGCCAGATAAGGAACTTCCCACTGGATAATATAATGCTGTCCTCAGGATGACACCAGGAGAGGTGGAGAGTCCCTCCTGGTCACCTAGATAGGGGAAGGAGAGGGACTCTCCCTGCTGGAAGTGAGATAGAGCTTCAGGCCTTGGCCCTGCTGCTTGTTCTAAGCATTGGTGGGGGGATGTATGCGGCAGAGCAGAGAGAAGTGCAGGAGGAGATCAAGACGCAGTCGTGGGGCCTGGGCATGGGGTGCACATCCACCATTAATCTCAGGACTAGCACAGCAGAAGTAGGCAGATCTCTGTGAGTTCGAGGTCTGCAAAGCGAGTTCCAGGACAGCTAGAATCAGTGCGCAGAGAAGCCTTGGCTCGAAAAACAAGCTAGCAAACAAACGGAAAAGAAGTAGGCAGCATCAGGGCTGAAGAGATAGCTCAGCGGTTAAGAACATTGACTGTTCTTCCAGAGGTCCTGAGTTCAATTCCCGGCAATCACATGGTGGCTCACAACCACCTTGAGTGAGATCTTGTGCCCTCTGCTGGCATGCAGGCAGAAGACTGTATACACAATAAATAAAATATTAAAAACAAAAATAAAATAAAAAACAAAAAAAAAGAGCACTGGCTGCTCTTTAAAGAAAAAGAAAAGAAAAAAAAAGCAGCAGCATATGGGACTGGTTATGGCTGCTTTAGGGTCCATGAGCAAAAAAGCCCGCATGAGGAGGAGGAGAGTGAGCCGGTAGGAGCTGCGGGCTGGGTAGCATGGCCTAACCCTGGCAGGTGCACACCCAGAAAGGAAGGTGCACACCGAGGGACCCGGGTATTGGAACAGGTGACAGACAGGTGTCTACTGAGAGCCAATAAAGCTCAGCACCGAGGACTGCGTTAGCTGGGAAGGATGGGAGATGAGGCTGACGAGGATCTTCTACGAGTGTGTGTGTGTGTGTGTGTGTGTGTGTGTGTGTCTCCCCTAAGGTGTTTCTCTGA